ACACTAAAATTTAAGTTTTTTTAAAGTGTTCTTCAAAAGCTATGTTTTTTTGTGTGTGTGTTTCCAGCAAGTATGGTTTCATTAGTCATATCCCAGTATCCCACAGTGGCAATATGTGGGAGGTTTGTGTGGGATTTGTGTGTATAAAGAGACARAAAGTGGGGGATAAAGAGCTTGTGTGGGTGGTGGAGAAGCGGGGTTAGGAACCTTGTAAGTGTCTCTTCTCTAATCTGGAACACAGCAGCCAACAAATGCTCTTTTGGATCGGACCCAGACATTATAATGAAGTCTGTGTGTGTTTGTGTGTGCGCGCAGCGAGACCGGCATTCACAAGTACATAACAAGCAGAGTGTGTGTGTGTGATTCAAAAATGAGAGTTGGATATTTTTCAGGCTGTCAAACTGATTAACAGGCGCGAATCCCTGCTGTTGTATCTGAGTGTTTTCAAGAGACTGAGGTGATGAAGAGCCCGTGGCTAAAAGAGAGAAAACACCTCTTAATTTCTGTCAGAAAAGCTGAAGTGTTTCAGAAGAATATAAAAATTGATTTTGATTTGATTTATTTATTTATTTAACAGGAAAAGATTATTAAAAATAAAGCCTGACTCAGCATAATTGCTGTTTTACAGCAGGTTCCTGTTCTGCAGCACATAAAACACTCAGAATTACAGCATCACAATAACATTATTATTACACCATAGACACAAAGACAAACAAGCATTAAACAGAAGTCTTAAATGTTGTTTCYGACTGGTTAAAACAGAGTCTGTTACATCCGTGCCTTTAGCATAGAGCTGGGTGATACGACCCAAATATTATATCACGGTATTTTCAACAATTACACTGGTTTCACGGTATTTTGACAGTATTTTTTTTTCATCACAGCTCAGCTGATAATAAAATGTACAAATGTTGCTAATTGACTTTTTTCTTTTATTGTACCTCTGTCTGTCCTGATGCATCTCAGTAATCCACGTAAAAAATTAAAAAAAATTGTATAGGTCTTCTGGACGGGTTCTTCTCTAATGAAACGTTTCGTCTCTCCTCCAWGAGACTTCTTCAGTCTGAGAGTTTCAGGCAAAATTCAGGCTTTTAAGCCCTGCCTCCATGTGACTGATACTCACATCACCTGGCTATCGTTGACAACCTAATTAACACTTATTGTTAACAGGGGGTGGAGTGATACTGGCAACAGCAGCACTGTAGGAGGGGGACAACTGAAAACGGAGGCCTCCACCTCTGTTTAATGATGGACGGTCTTTCTTCACAAAAATGTCTTCTTTTACTCCTCTCTCAAACCAACGTTCCTCTCTATCAAGAATGAGAACATCCTCATCTCTGAAAGAGTGACCGCTGGCCTGTAAATGAGTGAAAACTGCAGAGTTCTGGCCATTAGATGTAGCTCGTCTGTGTTGGGACATTCTTTTGAACACCTCTGTCTGTGTCGCTGTTTTCCTCCTCTTGTACGTCTTTTCTTCTCTGCCTGGTTGTAAACAGTAATCACGTATTTTGGACCGATCGTGAAGGATTGAGAACAGATCATTATTGAGTCGTTGTGTGTTAATAAAACTTAAAAAGTCAACTCAGCTCTACTACAGAACTACTTCCCCCTGGCTTTTCACAACAGAAGTACTTTAAAGTCTCCATTATAATGKTGTGTGTTAAATCTAACCGTGCACATCACTAAAGAGGTGTTTACTACGTTCAGCGATGGTGAACACGGGATTTGTGTTTTTTTCTTCAGTCAGCTAAAACACCACCCTCCAAGTTAGTCCAACAAGCTGCTCCAACAATAACGGTAGCATGCTAACGCACATAGTGGTGTTGCGAGGAAAAGTGTCCCCCGGGAAACAGTTCACTGGTGGCTGTGACGAAACGCTCTGAACGTGTTCAGGCTTTTTACACCGTTATGTCCGGTATTCAGAAAATTCATATCATAACAAAAATAAAAAACGGTTTTCGGTACAAAACGGTATACCGCCCAGCACTACTTTAGCACTAATGTCATTTGTCCACTGATGAAAAACAGTAACATAGGCCGAAATTACTACCCGATCAGGTGAGGTTCTGAAGCCAGTCAGTAGCTTGCTGTTCTTTTCTTCGCTGAATGGCGCACACTTCAAGGCTTGAATAACATGTCGGACACGAGCATGCTCACCAAAACCAGTAGCTCCAGTTTGATCCTCAACTGAAAAACAGAGCACGGCTGATATTGATCCAAATAGGCAACAGGGAAGCTGGTACGCCTCACTTGTTAGATTAGTCGCTCCGTCCCGGCTCCCACCGCCACGCGTCCAGGCCGGCAAGTCCACCCCAGGCGCTCCGTCCAAACACGAGGGACAATCCGAGGGCCGAGGGACTCCATACACATCCGCCACTCCACCGAGACACGCCGCAACAGCAGCAAGCCGGAGAAACCAGCCCAACTAGCAAGGTAGATGATATTTACCAAAGTTAGGATAACTTATGGTCGAAGCTTGTATACACGCCACAGGACGCTTGTGTGCTGTTGTTTTTCGAAAATGATGTCCGTCATTTGCGTCTTTGATATTCCGTTTATGTAGCATACAGAGTAACAGCAACACTAAAGCTGAGGTAAATTTGGTCAAAAACAGACCTGCAGATGCCTGTAAAGCCAAATGGGATGTATTTTCCTGCAGCGATACTGCACAGCTACTAGGGGTGTAAGAAAATATCGATACACTGAAATATCGCGATATTTCATTTCCTGATACGATATTCTAAAGCCCTGTATCGATTTTTAATTAAGGTTTAAAATGTCAACCTTCTTGCCAACCGTTCATTTTTATGTTGTAGTTCAGCCTCTGACCACTAGTTGGCAGCGGAGAGCCAGCCATTTGGCTCCTCTACCTCTTAAGTGCCAGAGAGTAAGAGTAGCATTAGCATTGTAAGTAAACATTAGCTTTTCTTGTTTTTTTCAGTAAGAGGTTTTCATTTAATAGAATTTTTGGACAAAAAAATCGCAATATATCGCAATATATTGCCTTGCTTACAGTATCCCCATATATCGGGATATATCGTATCGTGACCCCTCTGTTATGATATGTATCGTATCGCCAAATTCTTGCCAATACACAGCCCTAACAGCTACATACATCTGCCGCCATCTTCTGCATAAAAAGAGTCTCAATAGCTTCATCATGGTGATGGACTAAAAACATAACCAAGTATGCTAATAGCAGCGCTAATTAACTAGTCATCCTCTAACACGGGTCTTAATGGATTCATTAGGAAATATYTGGGCTTTGTGTCGCCGTCCTTGTGCTGACACGCCGCAACACGTAGCTGCTATTATTTCAAGTCCTTCTCCAGAAAGGTTAAGAATGTGAGCAAATTCTAATGAATATTTTTTAATTAAAATGCAAATGAACGGAAAGGACTTCAACAGTCTTTGCAGATTTACATGCTGTAAATAGGAAACATGGTCTCATTATGGGAACAGGCGGGAGGGAACGTCTCRACCTCGTTGGACTGTGGCGAAGTTTTGTGCAAGCACGTCGGCTCTGATTGCACAACAGATTCAGAATCGACAAGCTAACACGTAGCATCCATGTTTACTTCAGTAACAAGCGTGCTGAACGGGACGTCTCGTTATCTTCTGCACACGCAGGACAAAGAATACACACTGGAGTCTGATGGAGGTTGCATTTAAAATATATGAACAAACACTGGATTTGTGCAAAAAAGAAAAATCAGAAATAAGCAACAATAGCTGCAGTTTGAACATAGCCTTAGAACATTAGCAATCATCTACACAGCTGCTGTAAGACAGAGAAACTATGATACTGAAATAAAAAAGAAAGGAGAAATTTCTCCTCTAAAAAACCGTTTGACATGTTCTCTAATCTCTGCTGTCTGAAAACCTTGAACAGTACTGTGGTCGTTGTTCCTGCTGTTATTGTGGACATGTGTGAACTAACCATGAACCCACGACTCGCTCACAGACTCGCCTCTTTCTGTTGCACGATGACACTTAGCCTGAAAACCTCTCAGACCTCGGAGGATTCTCCAAGGTTAGTGGGAATATAAAATCATCAGATCTGAGTCATAACAGGAGGGATAATATCCTCAGCAGCTTCTGCAGGCTTATTTTAAGAGATTTACTTTTCAGTGTTAAACAGGAACATTAAAAACGTGCATTTTGTGCCATGAAACTTCAGCAGTGAGTCGTGAATACCTCCAACTGTACGACAAAACATTAAATACTACAAATTCAGAAGACTAAGTTCAGAAAAAAGCATTCTTTGATGACATCAGCTCATGTTAATGTTATCATCAGACAGCTTTGATTAAAAAGACACAAAGGAAGCATGCTGTTTGTAGTCAGTGAGTATAGTTTGGCAGAGATTTTAGAAAATAAGTTTCTTTAAAGTTCCTGTGRCATGCCCTTCAAATACAAAAAGTTAAAGAAAAYATTATTCTTAAGAAAATTGCCATAATACACATGATTTTACACATTTTGTCWCATAAYTGGCTTATCTTCTTTTGGATTTGCCTCAGCCAAAGTGAAACAGGAAGTGACATCAAAGGGGAACTCATTAATAAAATAAACGCTCTGGTTTTTCTTTAAAACAATTAAATTCTGACTCTTCTTTGTCTCTTTTTGTTAGAAACTCAAAATAATCTAAAGAAACATCAGATTCTTCTCCACAGTCTGTTGTTAGCTGTTGTAACAACACTCTGTTCACACGCAGACATTCCCCTTTGACATCACTTCCTGTTTCTTCACAGGCAAATATCTCAACAACTGTTCATCTCAGCGATGTRAAATTTGTTTTGCAACATGTTATCAATGTTATCTTTCCAAAACTGCCTTCATGTTTTTACAAAAAAAATGATGTCACAGACCCTTTAAATGCACTAAAATAATGTGCTTCATCAGATCAGCAACACTTTCTGAACCGTTTTAACAAAGAGCTACAGCGTGTTTAACGCAAACAACAGAGCTGAAGTCCTGACTGAGTGAAACTTGCTGCTCACCAGCCGGTGTTGAACTCCACGTGTGCGTCGAACAGAGCCACCACAGGAGCCGAGGCCGTCCTCCAGCCACTGACCCTGGACCTGATCAGGCCCTCCTGCTTGTCGTGGYGGACCACCTTGACGAACCCGGGGCCGTGCTGAGCGTTGGTCTCATCCACAAAACTCTGCAGGTGCTCCTTCAGCTCCACTGGAAACAAAAAGACTTCATATGAACTCAGCAAAGCTGCTGCATTGATTCAATCAGCACACTAACACCTAATTAGCACCTTTTGCTAATGAAAAATAACGTGTGTCATGCATGTGCATAGGTGAGACAGAAGCTATTTCAGATTAAGAGTGCTCATGTTTGCCTTTTCTCAGTTTCTCCAGATTAAATTATCATTCAATTACACTTTTATACACAATAAAAAATGTGTTATTCAGGCCCTAAAATGAACTTTTCATTATAACAGATTTTAATGTTGCTCACTGCTGAAGAGAGCAGAGCAGAGAATAAAGTTGTGTTATCTTCGTATGCATCTGAGGATTTATTTCAGAGACGCTTCTTAGATTTAAACAAGTTAAAAACTGTGCAGCACCATGAACACAGGTAACATTCTGCCTAATTTTAGCTTTCAGACCCGACACCTGCTTTATTCAAATACAGGTTATTTGTGTTGAATCCAGACATTTGGATGAATTGTTCCTCTGAACCTGTTTGATACACAAATTGTTTCACGGTGTTATTTGTTAAAGGGGGATTGGGGGGGGGG